GAAGGGCTTTGGGTCAGGACGATGTGAGCTCGCAGCCTGCTCTGCCATCAATGAACACTGGGCTTTGGCCAAGTTACTTAATCTCTCGCAGCACTACTTCAAGGCAAGCACTCAGAGAATAGTCTTCACCGTCTCATTGCCATGGCATGTCAGAGCCACAGCAGGGAGCAGAAAGAGCACGGGCTTCTGAGCAGCAGACCTTGGTCAAGATGCTGTTGTGCACACTCAAGTCTGTGACCTTGGACAATTCCCTTTGCCCTTGCCAAGGCTCCGTGTCTACATCTATCAAATGGGAGTGATCACATTGGCATCTGAGGCCAGAGAGAATATGAGAGGCAGCAAGCCCTGTGCCAGGCACCTACCAAGTGCCCCGTGGATTACAGCTGCTCCCACAGACGGCACCACAGGACAGATGTGGCAGAACCAACACTGCAATAACTTTTTTAGCAACTGTCAATACTTACTGGGCAATTATTTAACCAATTATCACAGATCTATACACTATAAAAACTGGAGCATCACAGGCTGCGGCCATCTCTTGAAACTCGTTGCCTGTGAGGAAGAAGCAATTGCCTGAACAGCCAAGGCCTGTCCCCCGGGTCCCCCTAGGGTCCTGGTGCATGGTGAGTGGCAGTAGGGGCCGGGATGGTCACTTCAGTTTTGGCAGAAACTCAAGTTTCTTCCAGGTATTGGTGGACCTGCAACCCCACACCTGCAACGGCAGCTACAGCCTAAGAACTTAACTGAGCAATGGGTCTTGTGTGAGTGCGTAGAAAAAAAAGAATTAAAAGATGATACAAATCTCTCCATGAACTTTTTGAAGTGCCCTCGTATGTAAAAAAGTCTTTCTAAATAAACCCTGTGGGGCCAGCCCGGTGGCGCACTCCATGGAAAAAGAATATGAAATATAATTATACTTTTTTATAAATGTTTTTGTTTTCTTTTAGTTTGATTGAAATGGTTGTTTTGAAATTGGCTTATCTTTTCTTTGGACTGCTGGTAATAGATATTGTATGATATAACCACTGTTATCCCGAATCCTTAAAATGTAGACTGCATCCCCAAGTGTCATGCTGTTGTTGATTTCTCTTTAGTGTTTAGTACATAAGTGTTGTCCAATAAATACTTATACTTGTATTGAATTTAACCATTTTATTAGCCAGATCATTTGGGTGTTTTTCAGTTTGTTGATTTAAATGTTCATGTCTCCCATAACTTCATATTTAGGTGTTTTAAATTTAGATATATTGATTTCTAGTACCTTCAGTGACATTCTAAGGTTAAAAATAAAAGTATACCACATTAAAGATAAATATAAAATTTAAAATAGAGCTTAATTTTTTAATCTATTGGGAATTTGATAATTTCATAATACAATAAAGATAAATTACTTCAAAAATAAAATGAATACAGAAAAGCAAAGTTAGAAGTTCAAATTAGGGCCGGCCCAGTGGCGCACTGCTACAGTGCACCGCTTGGGAGTGTGGCGGCGCTCCCGCTGAGGGTTCGGATCCCACATACAGACCGGCCGCTCACTGGCTGAGCGAGGTGCGGGGGCAGCACTGAGGGTTGCGATCCCGTTGCCGGGCCCGGTCCAGTGCGGGCGCGACACTGAGGGTTGCGATCCGTTGCCGGTCACGAAAAAAAAGACAAAAAGGAAAAAAATAAAATAAAATAAATAAATAAATAAACCCTGTGGGGGCCAAGTCAGCTACCAGCAGTCTCCAAAATACCAAAAGCTAGGAGAGAATAAAAGTAAGGAGCAAATTCAAGGCAATTTTCCTGTGTACATGAACTCTGGGGAAAACTGTTCTAATATAAACTGAGGCTATTATGAAGAAAGTAGTAAAACTTTCCCATATGAAAAGAAACATTACTGGATAGCATTTTTATGAAAGTAAGGGTGACAGACAAGCTTAACCTTTCATTCTCTGCTCACTGCTCAGCTGAACAGAGCACGGAGTCACTGCGACACTTACGCTCTGGACGCTCACACCAGCACTGACGCGACCTGTGAGGTCCAGTCTCCTTTCCTTTACTTAGCCCTTGAGTCCCTCACCTACGCCGCCGTCTCTCCTCCCCCATAACACCAACATCCTCCTCCCCGTTAGGACACGTTTCTCCTGAAAAACCCACAATTAGCTTTTCAAAAGATAAAAAATCTTCAGCACAACATAAAAAGCCCTCACATCCTCCATTCCCTGTAAGCAGTAGCCAGTCTCCAACAACAGTGAGTTAGGCAATTTTCAAGTACATATGGGAGGAATTAAGTGCAGATTATGCCTGTGTAAAAGTGACAATTCTGGTGTGAAAGTGAGGGGTTTGCCACCATTCTCTCCCCATGGTCTCCACTCCCCAAAGTTGTCATGATCAGAGCTGGGGAGGGTCCCAAGACTTTGCTCCTTAACTTCAATGGGCAGACAAGAATGCGGGGCTGGAAGTCCCCACCCTTTACATCTGCCTCGGTCTTTCCAGTGACCAGCCCCCATTCAGAAGCCACCTAGGGGCTGCCAGCCATCAGAGAACTCATTAGCATACAAAAAGACACTCTTACCACTTTGGTGAGTCTAAGGATTTTAAGGAGTCCAAAGACCAAATGTATATTTCACCATATTCCACTATTCTGCCTGGCCAGCACCACTTTCATTTCTATACAGCATGCCAAATGGTAAGGCTGACCAAGCTATCACTTGTCCTGTGGGCATTTCAAAGACCATGACCAAACAGCATACAGCTGGGTCCCCAACCCATTATTGCTTAAATGACTTGGTGTCTCTACGACCCATTATCCAGCTAGTGCACCCTGCCTGGCCTGTGCCAAGGGGATGCACTATCTCTCGGCGCAAGTCATTCTTTAAAACTCTTCCAAACATAACATCCTCTGTCTTTTCCAGACTCCTCCCCAAAGGGTCAGTCCGCCCCTGCCTCAGGCACCAAGGGCTGGCTATAGGAACCTCTACCATAGTAGTTACCACAGTCCCAGAGCTGCCAGGGGTCATCCCCATACCACAAGGGCACAGGGAAGGGTGGCTAGAACATATTTTATCCATTTTTGTAGCTGCTAAAATAGTCACTGCAAGAAAAATAGCCTAGAATACAACTGGTGCTCACAATACATATTTATTACATGATTTTCCCAATGAACATTTTCCTAAAACACAAAAAGAAATTTTAATAAGTAAACTAGGGTTTTTGTACGGATCTCATGAACTTATGATATAAAAGAAATTCTTTAAAATTATATGGGTAGAGACATTTTTGTAAGCATGTTTTCATGATAGTCTGTGTGTGGTTCTCCATACTGTCTTGTCTGCAAAATACATGCCTCCTGGGCGCTTACACAGAATATGCTGATGCAAGTGAGTGCATCACTTACCCTGCCTGATATCAGCAACCTCAAGTCTGCTAAAGTCGCTGAAGATCAAGAACTTTCTAAAGTAGTGCAGATTCTGCTACTGATGAATTGTTAATGGATTCTGAGGAGCTGTAATTTCTAGCTTAAATTCCTTTGAAATCTGACAGAAGGATTGACATGTGACCACATTTACAAATGACTAAGTCTTAAAGGTTCTACTTGAATGACTAATAAAAAAAGCTGAATGACCACAAGTTCGAAAAAAGTTTTCTTATATAACAAAAATCCCCTAGGGTTAGGATACCAACACCCCCATGGTGTTTGTCTTGCATAAGGTATGGAATAGAGACCTGGGAAAGCCCTATGAATGTACGGGGGGGATCTGAAGCTGGGACAGCCAACCCCACCCTGGGATGGGCAGGGTCAAGACAACAAAGCCCAGCAAGAGGGAGGAGGCAGAGGAGGAAGGTGTGGAAACAGGCTACAGAACTGCGTGCCAAGAACCTTGCTCTGGAAACCACAATGAACACACGCCACCCTAAATAAATGGGACAATGTGTCTCTTTCTCCAAAAGAAATCACAAAGGATAAAAAGGCGAAAATGCCAGGACACTTAATCCTACCCTCATGGAATATTACATATTAATTTTATTCCATTCTGAATGCCACACATCTAACAGGGCACAACTGAAATTAAGAAGGTTCTGAAAGATTAAAAATTGGCCAAGGAGAAAGAACACATTCACAAAGGTTTTGGTGGTAGTTTTAGACCAAGTAAGAGGAAATTTTAATTTATATTAATGTGGAAAATTTATAGATGTCATTATACCAAGAGATTCCATAATCCAAAATTATAGATTCAAGTATACTTTAAAACAATTTGCAAAATAACTAAAGCAAAATAAGATTTTTATGGAAGGCATGTTGGGGGTTATCCTTGCAGTTAGTTCTGAGACGATGCTCTGGTAATAAAACTGTGCCTTCTCATAACGCACTTCTTACAGCCCAGCCAGAGACGGAACACCAGACTAACCATACCACGAAACAGTACTCATATGTCAAATGTCCCAAATTATCTAAGGCTGAGAAATGTTTTTGCTACAAAGTGACATGTTTTTGGCCAGTATCTGTTAATGACAGGACCCCAGGGATCCACATGCTATACTACAGTTATGATTCTATTGTAACACAAATGAGATCTCTCACAGAAACCCTCAGAATCCTTATCTGTTTGCTTCGTCTTTGATATAGACGTATTTTCTTAGCCTCTGAGCTGGAATCAAACCTTTACTAGAAAGCAGTTATTCATCTTTGAACTCCCTGTCCCAGCACAGTACACAGGAGGCCCCAGCTCAGAACATATCTGAGACCCACGTGCTGAGCAGATGAGAGGAGGTGCTCTACCAGCTCACAGGTGGCAGGTCCACTTCCTGTCTGCAGACTCAAAACCATCACAGGAATGCAGGAACAGCGATAATCAAATGTTCCATCCAGGTCCCTTGAAAGCGTAAATCTAACGTGGTTCAACAAACCAGGGCTGCATGCGCTGCATTTCACTAGATTAGAACCTACTGAGCAAACTCAGCGTTTGAAGCAAGAGGAGCCGCTGGTCCCGCCTGCTCTAAGCAGAGCCCTGCAGACTCACCTTTGGCACACAGTTACAAGAGGCAACTGGCGAGATGCAGAACTCTTCAAAAAGATGAGTTTTCAGCTGATTATACCTCTGATGTTACAAAGCTGCAAGAATTTTCCAAACTCTCAAATCTCAGCAGGGAATTATGATCTGGGATGTCAATTGCATAAAAGGAACACATAAAATCTAAAAAGAAATAGAAACAAGCATATATTAGGTCAGCTTGCTTAATTTTAAGTAATCACTTTAAAAAAATATTTTTTATTCATTTTCCTAAAACCAGTGTTTTAAATATACCCCAAAAAACAGCTGCTTTGTGTCAAAAGACCTCTACCAAAACACGAACTCTTTCCACCTTCCATTCCTCAGGTGGGCTCTGACGCAGAGGTCAGGGAGGGTCAACCACACACTTTCTGAATAGCGAGGGACGGAAGGGTGGGGACAGCCCGTAATATTAGAGGGACCTACGTTCCTAAGTCCCTTCCAGCCCTCCTCCTTCCAGCATTCCCGACCCACCCCCTTCAAAACCTGCCAAAAATAGGGAGGTTTCCAAGCAGAAAAGAGACAAGTCTGGGAGCCTAATCAGGGAGAAGGGCTGCAGAGAGCTAGGATATTACGTAGAGACCCAGTCCCCTCTTGGGGTCTCCTGCACTAGCTGTTTATTTAGAGTGGCCACCAACTGGGCCCATGGCCTTGGGCTGAAAACATCTCCCCAGGAAATCTGAGAATAACACTCCAAAACTATGAGGAAGCTGAAAGGGAAGAAGCCTGACGGAGCGGACCTGCAGCCCCTCCTGGTAGGGGAGAGATGCGGCTGCATTGTGTGCACTAACATTGGCTAATATTTTCAGTCCTCAACTAACATTTTCGAGATGATCCTGAAGCACTCTATGGACTTCCAAGCGAGTTCACTGACATTTTTAATTACATTCAAACCCAGGGGGGCCCATCTTGATGGTTCACTCAGAGAAGATCTATTAATTCATCCCTAGCATGATTATGGCCCAAAATGTTAAATACCCCACAGAAAAATCGAATTCTATTTTAGCCAAATAGGAAAAGATAATTGAAAGAGGGCTATCATAAAAATGTTATAAAGTTCATAAATTTTGATTTAAAAATTAATTCTTCTTTATGCATTCTCTAGCATTATTTTAAGGCCTGAATAATTTTAGAAAGTATGTGATTGAATGTAAGAAAAAACTGATGACCGAACACAATGGGAATACTAGATTAGAGCAAGATGCTAACTGTATTCTAGGAAGATTACACCCTTCTCTCTGCTAAGTGTTAGCAGTAACATGACAGGTCCTCGCGAAATGAAAGTATTGGCATCTGGACTCGGGTCTTGACCAAGTCTTCTTATTTTTCATGATGACATTGGTGACCTCACTCTGCCGCTTACTGAAGAAAGCCACCTCTACACGGCGATGTCCTCAGTAGCCACGTCCCTGAGAACCACCTCCATATTAGTATTTTCAGGGGCTATTCTAAACGTAAATGGTATTTTTAAAATTCTTATTGAAAAGAAAACTTGCCTGGAGTCTGCTTCCTAGAACAATGCTAGGGAGTGTGTGTGTGGCTGCTTGGGTCATCCAAATACAGGCCTTCCTCTGTGTGTACTGTGCACTCTCCAGTGACACTATTCAATCCTTCCAAGAGCCTTCCAGGATAGAAATTAATACCCAAATGGACACACGAATCAACTTTCCCAGGGATGTTAACGGGTTTTAGAGTTATAAACTCACTCAGGACTTCACAACTCCAAGTCCGCAGGCTTCGTATTCCCCTGGTCCCTTCTGAACACAAGTGTCACACCAACAGCAAACCAATTGCCCGAGCAGCTTCTCTGCCAGCCAGCTCCAAGCAAAAGAACAATGAATTGGATTCTGAACCTGAGTTCTCTGATACTCAGTGTAGTGGACAAGTCAGAGCATGGTGCCCCCAAACTCAATCCACAAAGGAAACACCAGACCCAGCAGACCAGGGCCTGAACTAATGGAACAGCTCCTGGGAAAGTGAGACTGTTTAAAATCCATTTAAAGGTTCCAGTGGCCATCTTGGAGGAAGTGTGAAAAATGGTTGCAGTGTGTTCCTTGAGAAAAGCATTTTGCCAGCAAATATCAGTGCACTAAGTATACACTTTAAGTAGAAATAAACACAGTGATCAAAATTTCTCAATTTATGGGTTTAAAGGAAGTCTGCCCACTGCCTATGTTTAATGTGATATTACTAGCTTATTCAAGATCTGTTAAGGAAGAACATTTCAAATCAGGTCCTAATTACAACCGTGATCTAAATCCATCAGGAAAGCATACACTTTTGTGCAAACACAGTGTCAGCCTGCTATACAAACACCATCGGGTACAAGGTCAGGGGGCTGCAGAAGACCCTCATCAAAGAAGTCATCCAAGGATTTTCTATGCAGCTGGCTGAGGGCATATGGGAACGTATGAGAGGAGTGTATGCTTTCCTTTAAAAATACTTTTCCACGAGCACCGTGAACATCTCCCTTTAAAAACAAAAGAGGAGGAGGGAGGGTGGAAAGCAATTAACACAGATACCATACGTATCTCTTTCTTCGCTCTAATTGGGACCAAATTTTACCACTGCAAAATCCAAGGGATTATCTGAATTATCTGTAACGCCAAGATGTTCTTTTTCTCAACTAAAGCTACAGCCGGGTGCTTTCCACAGTCTTCTTGCACCTTCACAGTCAGCCATGCACCTTCTTCAGCAGCAGGACCACACACTGGGCTAGCATTGTCTGCAAGCCCTGGTAGAACTTCCTGTCCCAGGTGCAGGCTGGGCATCCAGACACCCCTATGCAAGCAGCCCTGGCCCGCTCTAAACTCCCAGAGCCTGCCACAGGACAAGGCACAGTGTCTTCTGGAGTGGTCCTGGGCTGTTTCCTTGGGACCTCAGAGTCTGACATGGATGTCCAGGGCTGACGTCCATGATGAATGTACTTTACTTCAGTAGAGCCATTCAGGGTTAAGTATGTGTCGTGTTCCGACGACAGCCTAAGGCTGTATGCCTTGTAGGCACATACTGCTGGACACCATGACTCTACCTGCTTTAGGGCTGGCCTGTCTGTCCAAACGCCTGAAGTCTCCAAAGGGCTAAAGTCACCCTTCGGAAAGCTCAGGGGATCCTGCCTCTCCTCCTGCCCGACTGACAGAAACAGAGTAACAGGCATGGTAGGGAACACATGCTGGCTCAGTGAGACACTCACAGGGTTTTGTCTCCACTTCAGCCTCACCAGCCTTCACAGCAAGCTGGGACCAAACCACCACATGTCCTCCGTCAGAAGCAAAACACACACTTGTCTGATTTTAAAGCTAGTGTGTTCTTTCTCCTGGCAAAGATCACCACAAAAGCGCTGGAACCCTGACACTCAGCAAACAGCATCTGTTGCCGCCACGTGCCTGGAGTATCTTGCCACGCTGGGGGGCTGGCTTCGACTCTCAGACTCAGGCGGGGGCACAGGAATGTGCACACAAGCTTCATTTCCAAAGGCGCTGCTTCTCGTAGACATCAGGGCAGCAAAAGAAAGACTCATTGAATAACATCACGTGACTGGGTTAAACGACGGGCACACCCTAAAAACTCAGGTGTGTATCATAACTGAATCCTACACACATAAAACACACCAAGAGAACTGCCCTTGACCCCTAGCCTGTACATCAACTACTGGCAATCATCTTTTTTCTTTTATTCAAAAAGGAAAAAAAAAAGCGTATGATTAGAACAGGCCTCTGACCTCTTAAATGCCTTGTCATGTCCTTTCTCCTCCCTCCCCGGCGTGACACCTCTCCCTGGCAGTGGTCTGCAGGTGGGTCCCCAGCTCAGAATGGATCTCGAGGCATCGATGCCTGCCCAGAGCAGCACGGGGCAGGGATGTCTGGGTGACGTCTGGTAAAACAGCTATATTTCATTACCAGTGAACCACGTGGAAGAAAACCCTACTCAAGTGGGAAAACACTGGTTTTAGACACTGAACAAAGCTACACAGGTCTCCTGGAGTGATGTGATGCCTGACAGTAAACAGCTCCCCCATGCTTATCAATGTGAGGTTCCGGGATTCCAAAAAGGTGACCTCTGCTGTCTCCATCAGCCCACGTACAGTGGTTCCCAGGCAGAGCTCAGAGAGGACTAAAGCCCACAAGCAGTTTCAACATTTCAAAAGATCCCAGTGAGGTCAGGATTTTTACTCAAGATAAAGCTGTGTTAACCAAAGAAAGTATCAAGTTTTTCTGCACTGGGCTGGAATTGTATAAATTCCAAATAGTAATGCTGTTATCGGGTTGGTTAGAAGTTGATTAATGAAAATGGAAGAAAAAACAGTGCCAATTCCTAACTCTCTAAAAACAGCCGCAGAGTGGCTGAGGCAGGCGTCTGGGGAGGAAAGTCAGATTTTAAGCTTAGACTGCCTTACGTTACGGAATAATGACTTCTGTCTTCAAATATCCCAGGGCTGAGAAAAGAACAAAACTGCAAGCAGTGGGTCCAGTATGTATGATGAGAAACAGAATACGGACCAGAAAGAACAGCAGCGAGGCCGAGGTCCAGGACCACAGGCCGCAGGCCCAGCTGGGCCACCAGCACCTCCATCCCTCATGCTCAGCGAGCTCGAGGAGGCCCCCAACTCCAGTTCCGCAGCTTTGAGAACATGGGAACAGGCCTCAGAATTAGCAAAAATTGGTCACATGGTGCCAAAACTTTATCAAACCTTCTCTAAAAGAGTGCACATCATAATGCGAACCTTCACATAAACTAACATTTATAGTCTGCTGCCTAAAAATCCTAACATGCGAGTACTGGAATTTGACTAGTAACACTACTTCCAGTGGTTTGCAAAGATTATTGTTTATGTATTTAACGCTAGCCTCTTAAATACAACATCACTCCATTCTCCAAGAGGTCTGTTAAGGCATTTCTCTGAGATCTCTCCACTAGCCCAAACCATGGCTTTTGTCATGAGCGTAAGAACATCTCTGTGCCGTAACCAGACAATCTAGTTATTTACAGCCTTTTTTAACAGGTCCACCTGCATTCTTTACTGCTACTTATCATGACAGGACTTAGTCACTGTGCAGGTGGTTACAACACCAATAAGGTGCACACTAGCCACTAAAATGCCCTGCTGAGTAAAA